CCCCAAAACCCCAAAACCCCAAAACCCCAAAACCCCGAAGATAACAGCCATGTTGAAAAATAGCTATAATTCGAGGACTTCCCTTTTGATTTGGAGAATATTTACTCGCTTTGGGTTGCACGAATTCTGCTTCTGGTGCACTGACTTTCCCTGAATCGGCTTTGAATATATCTAGAGAGTTAAATTTGGACTATACATTATGAATATTCTTCTTCTGGATCATAATAGTCGAATTGTCCACCATAAAGTTACAATAATGCTTAGTAGGACGCTTCTCTTGACTCTTTGTCGCTAGATATTGAATCAAGGAGGCTTACCTCATGCCAATGGCCTATGAGAGACAACATTGTTTATAGAATTCAAAGAGCTGTTGTTACAATGCCTTCTCTGCTTCTTATAATACTCAGGATACTGAGATTTCAAAATTACTTCGTTATTCTTTAACGCCTTGTTGATGCTAGCATTGCTCAAGATTTTCTGATGATTTATATTCATCTTATTCATTTGAACAAACTTCCTTAACCTAGCATTGTTCTTGTATGCGTTCATTGAGACGTATTTATTTAATATCTAAAGAATGATTCATCAGATTTACCCTTAGACCTCCTAATTTTCTTCCCGACCTTGGAAAGTGAGTTAAAATCAATAGATTTTCGGGGAATCTCTTTATGTGTCTTATTCTTCACATGATTATTGATCTTACTCACTCAAGCAGTCAACGTCCTGTTCCGCCCAGACCTCTGGTTAAGGACTAAAGAATTAGATTTGGAAAACTACTCCGAGTGTTATTCTCAATTGTCTTAAAACTTTTATTTAGTGTAACTATAACCCTCGAAAGCAGCCTTTAGGAGCTTCTGAAGTGGTTCTTTGTCGATATTTCTCAAGCATAGACCAATCCCTGGGTTGAAGAGTGTCTCCCTCTTCATTTTGCTTTGTATATCCATCTGCTTGTTGGCTCTGATTCCTACGAGTAAGTCCCTTCCCATCGACATATGCTTCATATTGTCTTGATCGAGAGTCTACAAAAAATTTCATTTTTGAGGATTTTAAAACTATTTTTCAGAGTATTAAAATTTGCGCCCGTTATCAGAAACTCAGTTTCTCAAAATTCTGGAAGACTTACTTGGTACCAACCGTCGAACCATTGGTAGCTCATATTTGGTGTAAGAGCCTACCTTCTGAAGTCCTGTATTATGCTTTTGCCCCTGATACACAAGTTGGTAGTCTACAGAAAATGATCAAAATAAGTCAATATATGAATATTCATAAGTTAGAACTGCACAAAGTGTAGCACACATATTTATTCCTTGCCAAAAATTAGCCGCAAACCCATAAAAGTTATACTAGATGGGCTACTTAGCTCAAACTTACCTCCAGTTTTCTCATTTCAGTTCAGGTTATTAATCCGGTTAGTCTTAATAATCTTGGTTTGATACGGTGGAATGTTATTACTTGACTTAGTGTCCTTCATAATCCCATGATTTCGAGAATCTCTATTCCTCTAGACCAATAAGGCCAAATATAAATACCAAATTAATGAAGCGCTTGGAGTTCTCTAGTCCGATATCAGCCTGAGAGGTATTATTCTGATGCTGGTCGGGTTCTTTAAGTTTTTTAAACAGTTATATGTATGCTATGCCTCTCTGCAATGTCATAAAACTCATCAGAATCCCTTTTGAAGTTCTTTGATGGGGAGGTAAGGTCTGAGTCACAGCTACTGTCACTCTTATGGCCAAATTTTTCAATATCAGTGCTCGTCCTGTGAGGAATAATACAACTAGAATATTCCAAGTTCATTTCTTAATAATTTGAATTAATTTGCTAATTTGGGGTTTTGGGGTTTTGGGGTTTTGGGGTTTTGGGGTTTTGGGG